ATCAGCAGAAGCTTCAAGAAACATATTTTTATCTTACCATATTTCTATTCACGTTTTCTATAAACACCATTGCTTTATTAACCTTTTGACTACGAATTAAAAAAATTAACCCGGTTTTCTGTCCAAGTGAACAAAATCTGACATTAATAAGGTAAATTCAGCATTTGGGATTTTTTTGACGAACGGTTTTCAAACCGGCGTATTTAATAGCGGGATACATATGTCCCACACGCAGCGATCGACTTACTATAAGCACACCTCTTATTCTGGAAAACTTTATTACTTTAAATAGATTTTCACATCGTAGGGTACAGGTTAAAGCATTCTTTGCATAACCCAACATTACACAGTGGACAACTCATATTTGTCCTTTTCTCTCTGTTCATTTGTGTACAACGACCACAGAGGAGTCTTTGATTTTTCAACTATTGGCATAGGATTCCCAATATTCAGGAGATTCTTAGCAATCTTCGACCCAGCAGTATTTTTTAAACTTTTAGTGGGATATACATGTCCCGTTAGTAGTCAAAGGGTTAAGAAAGAGATGTTTCTTTAAGATCTAATATTTATTTCAGTTCACAAGTTCCCTTCCATGACGAAATTTCATAGACATAGCGTTTAGTGGAAAAATTCACTTAAACTACGTGAAAAATATCTTTAATAAGAAAAGAACATAAAAAAAAAACCTTTAAAATTAAAGTTAGCAATTAAAAAATGCTGAAAAAATCTTCAAATTATGAATAAAAATTCGATTCGATTCGCAAGACAGCATGACTATTTTTTTCCTTAAATACAAATTTTATAATTATATATGATAAAAATAATTAAAATTAAAAAAAAATCCAAAGCTAAAATATTTTCAGCACTGCAGATACGAAGAGCTTGATTAATAGAAAAAAAAACAGAAGGGTTTTTTTTAATAAACTAGCAATAACACAGAGTAACTCACTGAACAAACGGCTAAAACCCCAGAAAGCTGTTAAGTTTTTGTAAGTGTTGGATTCCAGAAGAAAAAGACTAATTGCATAGCAGATGGAAAGAATCCACAAATAATATAAATACGAGAGCCAATTTCTATCAGAAAGTATTCCACAAAGGCACTACTATACGGTAATTTACCCACTTTTACTTTTCAGCATATAACTTTCCGACAAAACCGCGTTTTAGGCTTTCGGATAAAATTATACCACAATTTTTAGTTACAGTTTTTAAAACACACTATTCATTTGTCCCAAACAAACAATAACGATTTTTAAAGAAGAAATATAACGTCACTAGAAATAAAAACTAAGAAAGAAAGAGGACCAAGAACTGGGGAAAAACAATTCAGTGAAATAAAATAAAAGGTTTTTTTTAATGTAAATATTTTATCCAAAAATGATCATTAAAATGCATGCTTTTGTAAGATGCGAGAAAAGAATTTGAGCTTCCAAGATCAGTACAATATTGTGTTACCTAATATTACGTCAATCACATTTGTTAATAATCATTTTTGCAACACAATATCGTTTTTGACGTTGATAGAGTAAAAGAGAATTAAAAAGAGTAAACGGAAGCTATACAGAGAATAAGATGCTAACAAAAATTGATGCGACGACAGCATCGTTGCAAACACATACACAAAAATAACAGATCACTTTCGTTAGATAACTGTCACTACGTCACAGTCGAAAGAGCCAACAACTTAAGGGTTTTGTAAATACCATTCCAGACGCTCAAAGCAAAACTTGAGAAAGAAAAAATTTGACAGCACGATGAGAGCAAGTAGAAAACGCCAAAAAGTAAGGAACAAAGGGGCCGGCTTATGAATATAGCAATACATTTTTTCTGGACAATTGCCAGTGCCTCCTCACATGTTATGGAATCCTCAATCTCAAGAGTTCTTGAGAAGCTAAAAATAAATTTTGATCGGCGGAGAAAATATTTCTTAAACCAGAAAATTTCGAAGACACGTACTTCTGGGCTGAGAGACACATAATACGTGTTTTTATCTCATAAAAATTAAGTCTTCCGTATAAAAATATAGTCTCAAAATATTCAACGAATTATCATAAAAACATTTACACGCACATGACTATTTGTGAATTAAAATTCCATTCGAGTATGATAGGAGAATAAAATATAAATAAACAATATTCACAGCAAGAAAATGATTATGGATCACTACACTTCCAAAATTTGTGGCTAGACATAAAATGTCAACGATGCCAAGATCTACTTATCGAAAAATGTCCGGTTCATTGTCAAATATGCATGGATTTTGCTCCAGTTATCTAACATTTACTAAGTTAATATTTATATATTCTCTTACAGGCTAAACAACATTTAAAAGTGTCTAAATCATAGTTCACAACCTGGGCGTTATCGTCCTTCCCCAGTGGGAGCGGAGATCTAGCGGGGTGTAGGGAGTATTTAGAAGCAAATGGATTGAGAAGATGACTGGAAAATTGTGTTGTTTAAATAATTCTCTTAAAAACAAACTTTCATTTTTTACGCAAATATTGCAGTCACGAATCATAACAAGAGTCCTACTAAACAGTTGTTGAAGTAAAACAGAAGTTTCTGTCAGTTGTTGTTAACAATAGTTTTTCGGTCAAATAGAAGTTGGTCCAAGTAGCATGCAGTTATGACCACAAATGCATACTTGTAGCGTTATTCAGTATATGCCCAAGTGGCATGTTCCTTCAATACATACCATTGTGAGTGCTCTGGCAAGAAGCTGCGTATGTTTTGTGAAGTTCATTACTATGAAGGCCCTTTCAACTCAGGACTAGAAATCGCTTGAAAGGGACATCTAATATCACTGTTGCAAGGCTAAAAGACGCTGAGCAAATTTCATCTCTTTATCTCTTCACACATGTTTTCGTATCCACGCATATTTTATACCCATTTTAAAAATTAAATACAAATAGTATATAATATTCTTTTGAAAAATACATGTTTAGTATTTGAATGGTGGTCTCTTCGTACATTATATGAAAAAAACTCTAAGAAGACCAGCTCATCACAGTCTAACGTATAAGATCTGATAACAGCAATGCGATAACAAAACACCAACTTCTCACATTTGTGATCATATCAAGAATATTGCATTGAAATAAAAATTTCAAAGCCTGATTTGTTTAAAAAATTACGAACAACCTACATAAATAATGAAGATGGGTTTGAACGTGTATGAAACCAATTTAATGGGCGGATAACGCCCTGACGTTTACTGCTGAACTTCTATATTTCAAAAATTTTAAAACAGATTTTTATCAAATGCTGTAACACACTGAGAATGAAGCGAAAGTGACTCATACTTAAAATTAATTATTTAAGGATGAAGAACAGAAATTTCACAGCACTTTGATCAAATACAGTTTTTGGTTCCATGAAAGCCAGCATCATACAATATACCACAAAGAGTATAATTCTGCAAGATTTCGAAAATTCAGCAGGAAACGTTAAAAACTAAATCCCATGTAACATTACCCTTTGACAGGCTTTTGAACAGAAATGCACAATTTCGAGAAGCAATCTGATTTCTAACAAGAAAAAAAAGAAAGAATAGAAGAGCGAAAAGATTGAAATTCTTTCCTTTCTATCCATCTACTTTTAAGGGGCACAGAAAGTCTGCAAAAACGGAGCCGTTTGGAATAAACGGAATAAGAGGGCAAGTTGTACAAAGACAGAGAGAAAGATATTCTTTTCCCCGTCGAAATTTCTGACATGGAACGCAATCGAAATCTTATTTTGACAGTCACATGTTGAGAGTTAAGGCTGCGACTGTTTGGCACCTAGGCCTGTGTTTGTCGAATATTTTTTCGTCCTCATTTCTGGTTTTTCTTTAGACATCAAATTCAAAACAAGATGGAGAACAACTCAACTCAACAAGCTACGTCCTCTACACATACAAGCATATATTTATACATAAAAACAATGTGACATCCGTCTTAGAAAGGAAAACCACCTGAACCCATCTTCTTAGAGATATATTCATATAATGTTATTTTCAAGCATAAAACAATTCAGAAAGATATAAAAAGATTTCAAAAATAAGGGGCACGCAGTTTCTTTGGGATACTTGTGTGTAACTAGTCCGCATGCGTAAGAAAAACTTTCTATAAACATTTTAAGGTTTACTTTCATTTTTTTCTATATAAATTAGATTCCATTACAGCTAATTTTCTTTTCCTTTATGTTAAGAATAGCGGATTAATACACACAAACAAATTTCCCTTTATGTTAAGAATAGCGGATTAACACACACAAACAAATTTCAACTTAAATAGTTGCTAAAAATCAACTTCTGTTTCTGTGCGGTTACAGTATTACTGTAAGTATTAAAATTACCTCAAAAAACCATACGGATTATTAGATGACGTATCGTTCCGTCTGCTTTCTAATTAAAAATATCACAACTCAAAACGTAAGAGTTTAAAATACAGCTGCTTATTGAAATGTCGACATAACAAGATTAAGAGAAACAAAACTCCGCTATTTGTCGATAATTCAAAACACCCGTTCAAATTAAACTGAATACGAAACAAAAATCAAACGTCTTGCCTAAACCTTAGTTCGCCCCTAGTGTTCACGAAGAAATAACGGATAGCAAGAAGCATAGGCCCGTAAGTTAAATGCAACCAGCAAGGAAGCTATGCAGGATTATGGCCTGCCTATGTTGCCAAGCGTTTTTGTTAAACTCAAGAAATGAGCTAATTTACATTTCAATTAACTTGCAATAACATAAAAACCTTAAACTCTACTGACGCTCAACAATGATTAGCTTGAGCTAGTTTCGAGACAATATTTCATGAAATAAACGTAGTAGACACCTTTTCCGTCCGAACACTCAGTATCTAGGTCTCCCTTCCTTAAAAAGAATATTATGATGTAACCAAGTAATAAGGGAAAGAAAAGAAAAAAAAATTAAATGAAGTTCTGTTTCTCGACTAAACCAAATGAACATAATTAAAAACCTTAAATGAAGTAACAATACAATAAGTATTTTCAAATACCTGTTTCCGTAATAGATAGAATTTCGGCTGTTGAGATCGTTTTGCAGGTAAAGATGCAGGCCACTCAATTAAAACATTTATCGAATCCAACTAAAACAGTTTGCATACTGGAAGACTGAAAAAGATAAACACGAATTAAATCATACAACATAAATTTCAGTAGAAAGACTAAATATTGTTACTTTCAATGCAAATACATAAATATAATCTTTATTTCATTCCCTCGACATGTGTAAACTATGCCTTAATAATCATAACCTGAACATAATATTTTTGGGTTTACTCTAGTAGCATAAATTACGGAGACTACACACACATATTCTATTATACAGGGTGTTTCTAAATGAATATAAGGGTTTTAACGCTTTGTAGTACTTATTACATAAAACTTAAAATCATAATTAGTACATGAAATGAAAGAGCAACTCAAACAGTTCTGTTTGTTGGAACGCACATGCGCATACAATAGTAGCAAAAATGGAGTCTAGCGAAGAGAAACCTTTTTGTGTTTTGCAGTTTGCAACAGACCGAATCAGTAGTTACTGTGCGACGTGCGTTCCGGATTAAATTCAGATGTGATCCACCCAAGTGATAATAACATCCGGAGATCGTTTCATCAGTTTGAAAATACTCGCTGCTTCTGCAAAGAGAAGAGTACGAGACGACCAAGGGTTAGTGAAGACAGTGTTGAGTTTATAAAGGATCGTGCGAGTCAGTTCATAAAGGATCGTGTGTATGTACCTCCACTACCAGCTGAGTTACCCGACTTAAGAAACAGGATTGAGGCAGCTACTGCAACAATTATACCACAAACACTAATTCAATGTTTGGGAAGAACTGGAGTATCGACTTGATGTGTGCCGAAAGGTGCTCCACTTGTAACCTTGTAGGCATAACTGTGTAGAGACATTAGGATTTTTTTGGAAGCTGGGAAGATGAAAAATCAGCAACGCCTTCGTTGGGAATCGAACCACGGACCTCTGGAATACGCGCCCAGCGTGCAGCCCACCACACCACGATGGCATGACAAGAAGGTGGGAGAAATACCTGTTTGAGCTGCTTTTTCATTTCATATATCAATTATAATTTTAACTTTTAGGTAATAAATGCTACAAAGCGCTAAAACGCCGATATTCATTTAGAAACACCCTGTATTACATTATATATGACTAAGAACAAAAAAAGTCATATATTCAGAGGAAAACACATAAATGATATATTTTAACACATAAGGCTACAAGCAAATGTAAAATAAAAATATTACCATTTTTGTTTTTAAAAGTTTGAGAGATTAGCTTATTGGCGATAGTCTAAAACGAAACAAATCAGAGATAAAACGCGTATCTGACTGCGGCTCATCTAGTAGTTACAAAAATAACCTAGAATCATTACATTTATATAACAAGCAAACATGTTAATTCTATGCTTAAATTTATTCCACTGTTACGAAAATTTCTGACAGTAAATAAATCAATGGCTCTTAAATCAATTATGAATTAACAGAATAAATTTGTCTTTAATTATTTATAGTAACCATTCTTTTTTTTGGGGGGGGCTGAATCGCTTATTTCTGCTTCACAGAACAAACATCAAGTTAAAAGCTTTTAAATGAATTCATAATTACCAGCAGGCCCACCAGCGGCCGAGCGGTAAAGTCGCTGAACACTGGTAGTCCGGTCCGAGGTTCGAATCCCGCGAACGGGCTGGCTGCATGGGTGTTTTCGTGGTTTTCCCCATGTGTAACGTGTATACGAGCCAGTTTCCCTTAGAAAGTCCTCCACGAAAGGCATCCCTCCCTTTAGGCAGATAGCCCTAGTGTGCTTTGCCATAATTAAATACACCACACCACACCACACCATAATTACCAGCTTTTGATTAATCATATATTCTTCCAGGTGTGTGACCTACCTTCTTTCAATACACCTAGCATCACACATCTTTGAACATTAATTGCATTAAACGACGATAAACTTTTTAACCCTACAAATCCTATTTATTGAAGATATGGGATCTGCAAGGTATATAAAGTACTTCTCCACACTAACTCTCTTTAAATTCCGAAAGTTTTTCTTCAGAAAAATATCTTTAAGTGATATAATTATTAGCTTATTCAACGTCGACTATGATGCTTGTACATTTACACATTCATCGATAAAAAAAAAAAAAAAAAAAAAAAAATCCAAACTTGTTCAATGCTTCCATTTTTTTTCCTTGGGGAAGGAAGGGTAATCACAGTTTAATAAATCTATAAGTGTGTTGTACGTTCTATAAGTGTATCTCCATTAGTCAGTACATGCTTGTATGCTTCTGAGGGTAGGAAGATAGTCTGTATGTTAAGTTGAATTTATAGGGGTGTCTAAATTCCATTCATCCTCTTTTTTTTTCTTTCCTTCTTTCTGTAATATCAATACACATACACTGCTAAACCACATTTCCACTAATGCTGATAAAAATGTAACCGATAGTTTTTGTTTACTTTATTTCATTTTTTAAAGCTTTTTTTTTTTTTTTTTTTTTTTTTTTTTTAAATGAATAATGTATACTACTTTTATCAATCGTTTATTTTCTCTCCTAATACTAATGATATCTATTACAATCCAAGCGAAATTAACAGATGAATTCTTGCTGCCTTAACTATAGTTTACCTATATTCTTTTAAATTATGTACTTATCACTGTAATGTTCCTCCCTTTTATCTATTAATTCAGTGTACAGGATTAGCTAAGCGAATAATCGCTTAAGTTCAGGAATAGAAACGTAAACCCAATAAGGGTTAATTACCCTTTATTGCTCAAACTAAACGTGTACAGATGGTCCCTTTCTCAGGGCGTACAACAAAGCCTCCACTTTGGCTTAAACTGAAAAATATAAGAGATAGGAACTTAACTAATGACTAATAAGGAGATTTAGCCGAAGCTAACATAATTTCTAACTAGTTGACCTCATAATATTAAATTAGCTAGCGAAGCTATCAAGGTTACGTAATACGACCGAGGGTAGTAACAGCTTGGAGAGATAGCCAAAAGACAAACGCGCGCTATCCAGAAATTCTGATTCTCTCTCTCTCTCGTCAGTGGAACTTCGACTTAAATACTACTCCTCCTCATTTGCATTAAGCGCGATTCTAAAAACTCATTCTGGTAAGGAAATGTAATCTGAAATTGGAGATATAGGAAAGGAGCTTTAACTTAAAGATAACTGTTATAAACTTAGGATAAACTTTACGCAACTAAGTTCACTATTTGTTTTAGTATTACTGTTTTTTACCTTACTGTTATAATACATCACTAAACGTTATACCTTTTATCTCACAGAAGTCTTTCTGCTCAAGAAGTTGATTAAAACCCATAACCCAACTTCGTCCTCATATATTTAAAGCTCTCCTTTCAAACAACGTAATATCACAGGTCTCCGGCTCACAACTGCTAGCTTCCAAAAACCAGTACGTAAATCTGTTCTTACTCTAATCCCTGTACTGCTAATTTAAGAACTACTTTAATACTCTTGATTAAGCGAAAAGTTTTTTGAAGCACTTCTTTTATAATTCAAATCTTCAGCAGGCTTCCCTTTTAAAAATCCCAATTCATATTTTTTCCATTTCGCTTTTGATGAAACAGAAAAGATATTTTTATAGTAATAACATGAATCCCAAATTTTCTCCTCTTTCACCGGTTCATGTTGACGAAATCATCATAATTCTGCACCTTAATAATAATAATAATAAAAGAAAAGTTTTTTGCAAGTTTTAAGAATTCAATAATGCTTATGTTTTAAAAACAGTGTATTCAAATCTTATATCTATACCCTTTTTTTTGTTCCTTTTTTTATACTATTTATTTTTAACAAATGTTTAACATTTTTTTATGTTTATTTTTTAATAACATTTATTTTAAGTTTAAACTATCTTTCCTGTCAAGCCTTACTTTCCCCTGGAACTGCCAATGCCAGAATATGTAAATTTGAGTAGAACGCGCAAGCATTCAAATTATCAGCGGAAGTAGTATGATTTAAATAGAAGGAAACGAGTTCGGTGTGAGAGTTATTCTTACTTAGCGAGCGCGGAGGTAGTTAGCGAGAATTGAAGAACCCCGCGTTGCGGCCTATGTGCTTGGCGGGAAGTAGTTGGTAATTGTTCCAGTGAGCTTCAAGTCTGCTGAATTAGCAGCGGTATTGTAAAACGCGGTGAGTTAGTTATTTTAGAGAGCCTCGTAGTTAGAATCTTGTCTTTACTTTCTTTTCAGGTTATTATTTTTATTTGACTGCCGAGTTGGCACCGTCTGTAAGCGTCAAGAGGACGCAATTGTAATTTATTACGTTGAATAAAAAGGGACTTAAACCCTTTACAAGACTCTATCTTTTATACAAGTTTTCACAGTCACCTCTTGGTTGCGTGCAAGTTAGAGGCGCGCAACGTTATATTGGCGCCCGAACACTTATCGAACTGAAATGGCCGAAAACTGGATGGAAGCCGCTGGACAACACCAAGAAATGACAACGCAGTTAGAAGGATTTGGATACCTGGTCCAGACTTTGAGAGCATCAATCAAGCCAAACGTCTATTTCGACGGAAAAAATTCGGTGTGGCGGTATTTTTAGAAGGTATAGAAAACCACTTTCAGCTCTACCCTGTGCCTGAAAGACAAAAAGTTGCCATCGCCACATCAGCACTAAGAGGACAGGCCGCGCTATGGTGGAAAAAATATAGGCAAATTTCTTCTAGGTGAATTTGGAAGCCCGACGTATACATTTGAAAATTTCAAAAAATCGTTAGTAAAGGCCTTCCCCATAGTGAAAGATCGCGCACGGCTGGAAGCCGAGCTATATAGTTTCTGTCAACGGGATACAGCACAATTGACGGACTTTATTTTACGAAAAATCAAGCTAACGGATATGCTGTATGGAAAAAAACCCGATGCGGAGATTATTGAAATAATATTACCAAGATTGTTACCCGCTGTTCAAGACTACTTTGAAATTAGAAACCCAACCACATTGCAGGAACTTTTCGAATTGGCGGTGAAGTTTCAAAATCGCAGAATAGCGGAAAAAGCGAGAGGGGAAACATATTCTCAAAGTACCCGAAGGAAGGAGGAAACCAGAAATGGAAATCGCTCA